GGCGAGAGGGGGTGAGGGGATGGGTGTGGGGGGAGGCAATAGGGGGATAAAGACACACATGTAATACCTTAATCAATAAAGAAATAAAAATAAAATAAAATAAAAAATAAAAACTGTAATACCTGCGAGGTGCAATACAGTGAGGTGTGCCTGTACTTTGAGACTTTCTAGTGATCATTAAAGGTGAGATAGTAAAAACATAAGTACAGTTTTCTTGGGCTTGGAGTCAAACTAGAATAAGCTCAATTTTACTTAATGTGATTTACCTCTAGAATGTGATATGTGTTATATATCTGTGTGTCTGTGTTTATAGATACTGAGATCAGAAAATGGACTTTAAAAAGCCTTTGTGCTTTCTTTTAGCTTTCTGTCCTGATGGTTTTAACATATACCAAAAAGTAGAGAGAATATTCTGTAAATGAACTTCTGTGTACCCTCACCCAACTTCAAAAATTATCCGTATTCTGCCAGGCTTATTTGAAAGGGAGAACAAAGTAATACCGTCTAGTTTTCTGAACAGTATTTTCTGAGGTGAATAGTGTAGAAACCCACTCCACCTTAACTTAGAGACCAAGGAAGTTGTATAATTAGGTATAACCTTGTTAGACTCTTCAGATAAACATATTTTGCACAACAATTAAAGGACAACCAGAGTAGAAAGTAGTCGTGCTTTGCAGTTTATTTACCTGGATTGGTCTTGTGTTCTGTTTCTTTAAAGGTGGAAGGCACAGCATATCTAAGTTCTTTTCTGTGGAAAACTAAAAACCTCGGGCTGTGGGAACAGCCTCGAGGGGAGAACCTGCTGGATGGTGGGGCCCCTTTCTACACAACGTACAGGACGGCCGACGGGGAGTTCATGGCTGTTGGCGCGCTAGAACCCCAGTTCTACCAGCTGCTGGTCAAGGGTGGGTAACTGTCCTGTGCCTCCGCCCCTTTCCTGTGGCTGCGCTTCAGCGGCGCTCTCAGGGCCTTTTGAAGTTCATGTCTTTTACTACACACCCACTTTATGATTAACCTAATCACAGCCATCATTCTACTGTGGGGTATTTCCCCCATCTTTTAAATTGACAGGTAATTTTACAATTCTGTAAAATAGCTCAGATTTAAAAAAATAATGCCCTCTTTTGTGGGAGTTCGGTGTGTTTCTTACATTTTGTGCTCTGTAGCGTTAGATATTTATCTTGCCCTTGTGTGCTGTTATCTATTCTTCCCTAGAAATGACCTGCTAGCCATCCTGTCCCGGGATAGATGTCCCTCATGACACCTCAGTGGAGGGTCACCAGAGCACGGAGAGCTGGTGACTGAGATTTGTTGGAATACGTTACTATCACTTGATGTTTCTGCAGTTTAACTGTCTGCAGATTCTTGTCTTGTTGGCATGCTACCACAAGTTAGCAAGAAAATTTGTGATCTCTTCTTTCCTGGTTAAATAATTGAACTGAAGTTTTTTTTTTGTTCCTGTGCAATGTTTGAGTTTAAAGTTTACAGATAATTTAGGATCTAAGAAGTTTTAGAATATACTCTGAAGTGGTGTGACAAACTGGTCACAGTGCATTTCTCTCAACTTTAGAGTTTCACTGTTATGTATAGTAGCTTTTCAGATGCAAGGTACTACTCAAAGTTACTTGTATATAGCTGCAATGACTGTTTTTGCCAGCATTAGAGAGCAATTTATGATCAACTACATTAACTTCACCAACTTAAATATAGTTGAAAAAAACTGTAGAACCGTTTTTAAGCATTACAGAATTTATAAAGTAAGAAATAAAAAAATTCTTTATTGTCTTTCCACTTGGGGTTAGTTTGGGATGTGGCCTTCTAGTCCTTTTTTTGTGTACATACAAACAAAACTATTTTCTTTTCAATTTATAATTTACATATAATATATGCAATTATATAAAATTATAATTAATAGCCATCTCCTTTTATTCAACAACTAGAGGCCCAATGCACAAAATTCATGCAAGAGTAGGCCTTCCTTTCCCCAGGGGCCGGCACCGGCTTCCCTCTGGCACCTGGGACCTGGGCAGCCCTCGCAGCCCTGGCTTTGTCCGGAAGGTCATCTGGAAGGACATCTGGTCTAATTAGAATATTACGCTTTTATTATTATAGACATAACAAAGGCATCATTTCTTGTCAATATGAAAGTTCTTCATCCTGCATTTTCAGAGCAGCTTACAGTTAGTTGTTCTTCAACATGGTGGAGAAGGAAAGGGTTATGTTATGAAAATGAGAATTATTTGATTAACGTGGCTAAATTTACACAAAATATGCAGAAGAAGAAGGGGCTTTTATTATTATTTCACCCTTAAACTTCCACACTAAAAAACCCTCTTTTGTGAGGGAATAAATGACATTTACACCAAACCCTAGTCAAGTGGCGCTTTGGGTATAATTTAATCAGCACTGGAGTCCTGCAGGGGTAGGAGCTTGTCAATGAAGGAAGCATGAGCCAGAGGAGCCATCCTTCCTGTACCTCCCCAGCAAGTGCCTTCATCCTTTCTGCCTGCGCGGGGGTGGGCTCTCCACGGCCCTTTTGCTCAAGAGCAAAGTCTGCGTGCCCCACCGGTGACTGGACGGCCGGTAACCTCTGTCCTGTTTGCTGTAGGAACAGTGCAGTGAGTCTTGGATACTTTACAACTTTTTGGTTCCTTGTTCACAGTGTTTTTAAGGGGATAATGAATCAACTATCACTGTCCTCCCAGAACTCTTTCATTTGATTAAATACAGAGAAATGAATACTATTCATAAAATTGCGATCTTGAATTTGATCATTTATTGTTAGGCCTCTTCCTTGAAAACTGAGGCAGACAGGTGTAAATTGTTTAAATTTTATCTTCTGTAGGGTTGGGAGCATTATGTACATTACAAGGTTACTTTAGTTCAGTCTGACAGATAATAACATCATGAGGAAATTTCTTCTTGAAATCCCATTCAGAGAGAAAAACAGATTTTTGAAATTAGACTTTTTTTTAAACATATTTTTTATTGTTGATATGTGACCTCCCCCCCCCCCCTTACCTCCCTAGGCTACTTTTGATGAAGTGTAAATAATAAAACCCTGGCATGGAAAGTCTGTTTTGAATCCTGCCACTCCTACTACTTCTGTCCTCTCCAGCCTTGGGCTCCAACTGCAGGCGGAGTTTGAATTTCTTCTCTTGGCCCATTTGAGAAACCTTTATAGAACATCCTATTTGGGACAGTAAGCTTAAAGCTCTTTTTTTTTTATATAATCGTTCCACCCAAAACATAATTTATGAAATTGTGTTTTTCCTCTCAGGTCTTGGGCTAAAATCCGATGAACTTCCCAATCAGATGAGCATGGCTGACTGGCCAGAGATGAAGAAGAAATTTGCAGCTGTGTTTGCCAAGAAGACAAAGGCGGAGTGGTGCCGGGTCTTTGATGGCACAGATGCGTGCGTGACTCCGGTTCTGACTTTCGAAGAGGTTGCCCATCATGCTCACAACAAGGAGCGGGGCTCATTCATCACTGATGGGGAGCAGGGTGTGAGTCCCCGCCCGGCGCCTCTGCTGTCAGACACCCCAGCTGCCCCTTCTTTGGAAAGGGACCCATTGATAGGAGAACACACTGAAGAGATACTTAAAGAGTTTGGGTTCAGCCAGGAAGAGATCGATCAGCTTGACTCAGATAAAGTTATTGAAGGCAGTAAGCTGAGAGCTAGTCTCTAAAGTCGCTCAGCGCAAGTGAGTCTGAATACTGCATATATAGAATGGCACACACAGCTGTGTGCATGGGAACATGAGCGGACAGGCCCGCAGCGTTCCAGCTTTTCTGATTAAGAAACAGTAATGATCCGTCCTGAAAATGGTTAACACCAAGTGGCTTTTGATTTAGGAATGTTTTTAATTTACCCATACTAAATTATGGCACTCTTTCTACCTTGATAGATTATATTTGTTGATATTAAAACACTTAAATATTTATAATATACTTTAAATGAATTAATATAATTTTTTATCAAATAAAGCTTTTTTGCCCTAAACTTGTGAACTTTTAAGTCTGAAAAACTTTCAAGAAAGTCCTATGAAGTAGCACTTAAATAGCATATTGTGACTCACTGAAATGTTTTTGGTTCTACTGTTTACCAAAACAAATGTCTGTAGATAGAAAAGCCTGATCCTTTTAGTTTGATAAGGAAGCTATTCAGCCAGTCTTGAAACTTCCTTCGGATCACCCACCCCTGCCTCTAGACCACCCTCCTGAGAGCCTGCTTCCCTGTGCGGCTGCCTGTTAGCGTCAGCCACCCATGGCTCTGACTCAGTCAACTGCACTGTCATGCACTTGCCAGGCCTCGCAGACTTCTTCCTGTCACCAGTTTCTGGTTTCCAGTCCCATCACGTGTCCCTCTGCCCCTGTAGGTCCTGGCTGACCCCTCACTTCACTTAGGCCACTGCCCAGGTGCCACTTTACAGGAGTCCTTTCCGACCCCTTTCTAAAGTCACAGTCACGTTATCCCTCGCTACCTCCACCCCCCACCCCAGTTTTACTTTTCTTCACAGCACACATCACTGCTAACCCCAGCCCTCACTCCCTCTGAAGCACTGCATGCTAGACGGGAAGCTTTATACAGGATCTGTAGGGTTTATTCATGCTAAACCCCCGCTCCTAGGATGGTGCCCAGCCCATGGTGGACACAGGGAACATGTATTAAAGAATGCAAGTCAGTAGCGATGTGCAGCCAGTCCCACCTCCACAGCCCTAGTGCCCGGCCCCCCGCCCATTGCTTACTCATTCCCGCCCTGTCACCGCTTCCCTGGACTGCTGCACAGCTTCCTATTCACTTTGACTTCCAGTGTCATTGCCTTCGTTTATTTCCATCGTGGTTTTGACGCCAGGCTGGTCTCAGGGCTGGAAAAGTCTTCAGTGTTCCTCTTTTTTCTTATGGGATAACATACGAACTCATTCATATAGCACATCAACCCTTTATTTGTCATAAGACTTCCACCTAGTTGTCCGGTCCCATCCATGCCCCTCCCCTCCCCAGCACTTTATATTGGACTGCCCAGCGTTTCTAAATGTGCTTCCTTCCTTTCCATCGCTGCACCATTTTCTAGGACTCACCATGCTCCCGCTCCCTTTTGCTCCAGCACGATGACCTAGCAAACTCAGACGTGGCTCAGACACAGTCTTCCTAGTGCAGCTTCCTTCATTTCTCAACCCTACGGTGGTTTTATACAGTGATTATGAACTTTGGAGCAGAAAGGCCTTGGGTTCGAATCTCACTCTATCAATTGTGATGTCTGAGACGATGACTTTGCCGTGCCTGGAACACCCTAGGTGCTAGGTGTTAGCTCCTGGTCTTAGGAACTCTGGCTACGTTCCCATTACACTTTGTACATATCTCCAAAGATAGTAATTGTTTTTAGTGTAGTTTACATAACTCTTCACTAGGCCACGAACTCCTAGCACACCAAGGAATCATATGGAGATACTGTTAAAACATATCTGGATCCCAACCCTAGAGATTTGAATGCAGTGGGTCCAGGGCGGAACCCAAGAATTTGCATTTTTACCGAACTTTCTTATATTGCTTCCAAGTCAAAGGCCACACTTTGAGTAGCACCGTTGTAATGGATATGAACCAAGTAATTTTACCTTTTTACTGTCATAAGGTGCTAAAAAAATCTGTTGAATAGATTACTGAGGAAAAGGATAAAAATAAGTTGGCAAAAACTTGTAAATAAACAGATGGGTTGGCTTAGAGTATTGATTTCGGTGATTGATTAACTTTGTATAAGATGCTGAATGAAAAGTTTTTTGTAGGGTGTGAACTTTTAGTGAACAAATATATATAAATAAAGTCACTAGCTTTTGTTGGTGACCCATACTTTTCTTCTGAAGAGTTTAAGACCTTGTGCAGAAAATGCTATACTTTCTCTTTTTTCTAGTTATCTTTTGGCAAACTGTAGATTTAGAAATAAGCAAGGGGGCAGGTAAGAGGATGGAAATTCTAATGAAAGAGGGATTACATTCGTTTTGTTTTACTTAATTTGAAAAATTAAATTTATTGGGTACATTGGTTAATATTACATAAATTCAGGTGCACAAGGTCATAATTTGACATCTGTGTACTCTATTGTGTGCTCCCCACCGAAGTCTAGTTTCCTTCCATTGCCATACACTTCACTTTCCCCTCCCCCTTCCCCCGGGATAACAGGCATTCTGTTGTCTGAATCCGAGTTTGTTTTTGTTTTATTAGTTGGTTACTCTTTGTTTTATATGTCACATATGAGTGAATCATAAAGTTTTTGTCCTTTTTCATCTGACGTATTTTACTTAGCATAATCGTCTCAAGATCCATCCATGTTGTTGCAAATGGCAACATTTCATCTTTTTATGGCTGAGTAGTATCCCATTGTGTATATGTACCACATCTTCTTTCTCTAATCATCCCTCAGTTGACACTTAGGTTGTTTCCCTGTCTTGGCTATTGTAAATAATGCTGCAGTGAACACAGGGGTATATATATCTATATCTTTACAAATAAGTGTTTTCACATTTTGGGGCAAATACTAGAAGAGGAATTACTGGGTCATATGATAGTTCTATTACTAATTTTTGAGAGGCCTTTATACTGTTTTCTATAGCGGCTGTACTAATTTGCATTCCCATAAGGCAGTGGTTCTCAACCTTCCTAATGCCGCGACCCTTTAATACAGTTCCTCATGTTGTGGTGACCCCCAATTTCATTGTTACAAATTGAACATAATTAAAGCATAGTGATTAATCACAAAAACAATATGTAATTATATATGTGTTTTCCGATGGTCTTAGGCGACCCCCGTGAAAGGGTTGTTCGACCCCCAAAGGGGTCGCGACCCACAGGTTGAGAACCGCTGTTTAAACCATTTTAGAGCCCTTCCTATATGATCATGGTTCACCTGCCACTCAGATTTTCCTTTGAACTCAGGTTCCAGCAAGGAAAATAAGACCCACTCCGGTCTTTAAAACAGAGGAAATTTGAGATAGAGAATAAAGAGGTGAATAAAGAGCTGAGAAGCCAAGAAGACAATGAGTCAATCCAGATATGAGCAACACTGGGAGGCCAGGACCACGCCTGTGTCTGCAGGGACGAAGGTAGTGTTATCAGGTGGAAACTGGACCCGAGTGGAGATGCAGCCGCTGCCAGAGGCCTCTCAGAAAGGAGAAAGGGCGCAAGGGTGGGATTGCTTCCCTTCTCCCGCCTCTGTCTTTTCAGCAGTGCCTCCATTGGTCAAATGTGCTTCATAGCCAGGGAGCAATGGGACCTGGGAATGTAGTTTTTTATGTTATAGAGCATGGAGGGAAGGGCAGGCAATGGACCTGAGCAAATAGGCAGTTGACTGGCACTACAAAGCGTAGTGTATACGCTTCATCCATCAGTCCTGTAGCAACTATTTACTGAGAACCCACTATAGGTGCCCGGTATCTTGCTAGCAGCTGGGGATACCACAATAAGCAACATGGTCCTGATCAGAGACTGAGGAGAAATAGAATAAACACAACCATTGAATTATAAAGTGCGTTGAGTGCAATGCAGGAAACCATCGCAGTGCTGACAGCGAGTGATTTAGAGGAGAGGTACAGCCCTCTGCCGTTTTAAGTCTGTTAAGTGACTCTTCAGGTGTGCGTGCAGAAAACTTGTGCTCAGGAAAGAGCAGAATATTTATATCTAGAAAAAGTTTTTAAAAGATCTTTTGACTTAGCATCTGCATTTAGGTCTTTATTGTCCCAAAGCTGTGTGTGTGAGATTGTAACAGAATGGGTGTGTGTTGGGGAGAGAGAGAGAGAGAAAAGAAAGAGAAAGAGAGAGAGAAATAGAAACAGAGAGGGAGAGAGACAGAGACAGTGGGAGAGAGAAACAGAGGGAGAGCGAACAGTGCGAAGGAAGATTCCTTCAGGAAAACATATTAAGGAGCCAGAGGGCTCAGGGCAGCTAAGCTCCGGCCGGCTTTCTAGGCCCCACCTCCCTTCCCTCTCATCATAACTTGTGATCTGAGAGGCATGAAAGAATCTGAGCCCTTCCCCCAGCCTAACCCTCTCCCTGGCTCCAAGTCAAAACCAGCTCACAAGTCGGAGGGGCCACGCAGGAGGTGGCGGGCTGGCAGGCAGGTTCCTCACCCAGTGGCCATGGGCGGCAATAGTGGACAGCCGGGCACGCACACCTACACATCCCTCACCGAGGATGGCCCCTTGGCCGCTGGGGAGCAGCCCAGGAGACCCACAGGCCGGCTCATCATGCACAGCATGGCCATGTTCGGCCGGGAGTTCTGCTACGCGGTGGAGGCGGCCTACGTGACCCCCGTCCTGCTCAGCGTGGGCCTGCCCAAGAGCCTGTACAGCGTGGTGTGGCTCCTCAGCCCCGTCCTGGGCTTCCTGCTGCAGCCCGTGGTGGGGTCGGCCAGTGACTACTGCCGGGCCGGGTGGGGCCGCCGCAGACCCTACATCCTCGCCCTGGGCGTCATGATGCTCCTGGGCATGGCTCTGTACCTCAACGGGGACACCGTGGTATCAGGTCAGTGCGCTGCTCCGGGCGGGCAGGCGGGGAAAGGGTCCTACGTGCAACTCAGTGGGAGTGTTTGGGTTTCTCTATGGGACACTTAACAATTGCTTAGAACCGTTCATCTCTCCTAGGTTTCCATGAACTTCCAACTTGGAATGACCCACATTCTGTGGTTGGGGAGATTTTACTTTTGGAAACATCAGGATGCATTGTTGTCGGTTTGGTGCGTGTGTGTGTGTGTGTGTGTGTGTGTGTGTGTGTTTTAAAATAGGATTAAATTTTTATCTACTTTATCAAACTTAATATTTTCACATATTTATTAATTGCCATGTTTTGAACCCATTACATGTTATTTAGTACTTTGTCAAATTAACCAGCTATAAATATTTGCAATAAATTACTTGTGTGTCCAAATACGGGTTAATCCTGTTCAGAGCTTTATGCGGAGCTGCTTCGTGGGTGCAGGGCATCCGTCTGCAGCTCCAGGGGACATTTTGGCAAATTCTGGACAAAACAGACCTGATGGTGAGCACTTTTTCTAGCCATTAATCAACCACCAATTAATCAGTAATTAATCAGTAATCGGTGGTAGTGGATAAAAAGTTGCACTGAAAAAAGGATCATAAATGTAAAAATAGCACACATGTTTAGGCCTTTAACTCCCAGGCAAGCAGAATGTATGATAATGAGGCAGGATAATTAGTTATCTTTCATATATATTTAAAAGAGGGCATAAGTACATAAAGGTAGGGTACTTCTGGAAGAATCACAAGAAAACCTGATAAGACTGTTGCCTCCAGGGAGGGGCACTAAAGGACTGGCGGTGAGAAGTGGAGGATAGGCTTACTTTCTGCTATCATTTAAAAAACGTGCATATATTACATATTATTCTTAAAAATTAACTGAAAGCAAGAAAAATTGTTAAGATTGGATGAATGAAGTGTGGCATATCCATAGAATAAATATTATTTAGCTGTTAAAAATTGTGAAATTGATCTTCATTAATTGGAATGTGAAGACAGGGAGAGAGTTGGTTATAAATGAGCATGTGCACATGGTCCCGTGAGTCAGGGCTTCTCAAAGCCTGGTCCTCCACCTGCAGCATCACTGGGGCTCTTGAGATGCAAATTCCCAGGCTCTACCTCACACCTACTGAGGAATCATGGGAGAACCATGGAGACTCATGGGAGATGGAGTCCAACCATCCAATCTATTAACAAGTCATCCAAGCGCTGGTTAAGTGTGCTAAAGTTTGACAAGCACTGCATTAAGGCACAAGTGTATACTTTTCTCTGTATGTGTGTAAGTGCACAAAGGGACGTGTGAAGGAGGGCCACCACTGGCGCTAGGATCTGAAGCATTTCCCCAGATTTTCTATATTGTTGAAATGGTTTACAATAAGCAAGCACAATTTTTAAAACCACTCTAAAGAGATATGATTCACATACCATTTTAAAGTGTACAATGAAGTACTTTTTAGTATATTGGCAAGGTTGTGCAACCATCACCCTATCTAATCCCACAACATTTTCATCTTCCCACAAGGAAACCCAGTAAGCATTAGCAGTCACACCCCATTCTCTCCTCCCCACCAGTAAAGGCAACCACTCAATCAGCTTTCTGTCTCTTTCGATTTGCCTTTCCTGGCCCTTTATTGGAATAATTCTTAAAACCCAAACAAAATAGTAAAGTTTTTATTTGGAAAACACAACAAAATGAAAGCAAAGGGAGATCATTTGATGCCAGGAAGTTTGGGTGGGAATAAAAATGCGAGTCATTTCAAACCAAGCTTTAGGTGCCCACTGTTTATTTCTCTTCTAGCGCTGATCGCTGACCCACGGAGGAAGCTGATCTGGGCCATAACCATCACCATGATGGGTGTGGTTCTCTTTGACTTTGCTGCGGACTTCATTGACGGGCCCATCAAAGCCTACTTGTTTGATGTCTGCTCTCACCGGGACAAGGAGAGGGGCCTCCACTACCACGCCCTCTTCACAGGTAGGGAATATTCCAGAAAGTCTCTTCTCCGGCTCCCAGGCAGACAGGCCCTTCCACTGAAGCCATCCCGTTACTCTGCACGTTGAGTTTTTTTGAATGAATGGATCACTTGATGGAATGCTCCCATCACGCGGGGCTCTGCTCCCAGTGTATTTCTCTAAACAAAGTCAGCTTGTGACCAGGCTGCGGAGTTTTGCAAAGGAAGTTTACATAAGAGCTTTCTGAAGAGCCATCTGTGGAGACATTTACAACCGAAATGAAAAGAGGCCTTGTGCACTTTACTTTTTGGTTGCTTAAAAAAAAAAATCAGTAATTTAGCATCAGCATTACTTCAGAGCTTGTTAAAAATGCAGTTTCCTGCCCCCTCCCCTCCAGTTATTTTGATTTAGTGGGTTTGGGGTAGGGGCCCAGAAATGTGCATTTTTAACAAGTACTCCCGATGATTCTGTGGCAAGTATTCCAAGAACCACGTTTGAAAAACAGAAATAGAAACAAACCAAGCAAATAAAAAACCCCTGGGAGATTTCTTAGTTCCATAAAGAATTGGCATTTCCTCGACCTCCTGGTTTGAAAGAAGCCATGGCAGGAGGACAGCGGGGCTGTTCCCGGGGCTGTTGCTGGCCACCTGTGGTTGCTGTTGGTCATTCACTTAGAGCTGTGCTACTAATATTCAGCATGCATTTATAGGACTGTTCTAGGGTTAGGGTTCTACCTGAGGCTGCAGCACCATTCCCGGCCCAGGAGGATTTTTATATCTAGGCGGTGGGAGAGACTCTACC